GAGAGATGGACAGGACAGAAACCATCTGAGGGCAAGTTGGGTTAGAGATGCTTCTAAATCTGCTGTCCTCACTGAAAAGCCAGTGATAATAGCTATGCGCTATTAAAACCTAATGGAACCATCACCACTAAGATTTAAAGGAACGCATAACCCAGCAGATATCAGACTGTTTGTCATCCTGGCTGCAGAGCGGAAAAAAAAACTGGCAAGGTTAATATTTTCTTCTATTGGTGATGAATAAAACCTAAAGGTTAGCTGATGTAATTCCAAACCGGTCGAAAAGCAACATCATTCATGGGTTTACGACCCTCCCTTTCCCTTTGGTGGTCACTCTGGTCTCTGCGGAGCGGTCTGCTATATTTTGTGGGACATTAACTTTGAAAATGTCTGAGTCTTTGTGTGTCCCCTCCAGGATTTTAAGGGCAGAGTGTTAATGTAGCCTGTGGGGCTTGCGTTTAACTTAGCCGGTCAGCCTCTGACCTCAGAAATAGTTCCGCTGTGTCCAGTCAGAGCTTCGGTTGGGAGTTAACGGTGTGGAAATCACGCTGATCTGTGCAAATGCGCACAGGTTTATGACATGTTCTTCAGTTCAGATCTCTGTCTTATTCCCATGCTACCAGACGGAGCCTGGTCTTCTTGGGATTAAGGTAATCACACAATTCCCAGCATGCCTCCCCCCCAGTCCTGCTTCTGATTTTTCTGCCAGAACACTGCAGCATCTATTTTTACAGACAAACAGAAGTACTTTTCCAGCTATACCAGCACATTTACGTGTTTAAATGGAAAGAAATAAGGAAGAATAAACTGAATCTGACTTATTCGATTTGACAGTTTCTTTGAAATTCAAATGTTTCATCGAGGGAAGTGTTAAAAGCAGCCGTACTTGGCCTCTCTTTACCGCCATCATGCTTCTTGAAGGATGTTAGTGTTCTGGGGATGAAGTTTGGTACCATCACTGTCATCCGTGTCCATCAGCTCTGTCATTTGATCTGTATCACACCACAGCCTCTTGTCTGAAAATTAATTTATTGATATTATTTATTTTCATTTCAACAAGGACATTCATTTTTTTTCCTGGAATTTGTTGGAAGATGACATGTCTATTTATGAGCTCAGATCTTTAACCTGCACGGTTAATTTCTGTCTGCTTCCGGCTGCATAATCGTGTGTAATGGGGCTGGAAGTCGGCTAAAAGGCAAGCGAGCTGAGCTGGATTCGTTTGTGTGTTTCAGAACGAGTCTCGGAACATCGAGATGCTGGCGGCGGCCTGTGCAGTGGGAGTGGGCTGCTGCTTTGCTGCGCCCATAGGAGGTAAATCTGTCCCTTTCTCTCCATCTTCACCTAGCGTAGCATTGCACATGTGCAGCGTGGAAAGAATTCCTCTTCTCACAAAGTGACCGTTGATCGTGAAGAATGCTGTACTCTTTTTATGTTTTATCCCGTACCGGTCAGAGTGTTTAGATGTTCTGGGCTTTGTGTTTTTAGGCGTGTTGTTCAGTATTGAAGTAACATCTACGTTCTTCGCTGTGAGGAACTATTGGAGAGGTTTCTTTGCTGCTACCTTCAGTGCCTTCATCTTCAGAGTGCTAGCGGTTTGGAACAGAGATGAAGGTGAGGCGCCGACACAATCTGGACAACAGTTCAATTCAATTCAATTCAATTTTATTTATATAGCGCCACATCACAACAACAGTTGTCTCACAGCGCTTTCCAAACAGAGCAGGTCAGACCCTACTCTGAAGTTAATTACAGAAACCCAACAAGTCCCACCATGAGCAAGCACTAGGCGACACAGGCAAGGAAAAACTTCCTTTTAACAGGCAGAAACCTTGAGCAGAACCATGGCTCAGGGTGGACGGCCATCTGCCTCGGCCGGTTGGGGGTGAGGGGAAAGAGAGGGCAAGAGAGAGAGAGAGAGAGAAGGACAGAGGGAGCAGAGAGAGGCAGCCCACACAGCAACATGTAGACTAGATGAAAAATGGCAATGATATTAATGCTAATGATGATGGTAGAAGTTATGACGGCAACAGAGCAGGAACACGGGGGCCGCAGGAAACTCGCAACAACAGATCCAGACTCCAGCAGCTTAGCTCTGTTGTTGCCCTCCACCTCTGAAGGCATCTGTCCCGTTGACTGGGACTTAACATGGCATTCGGACCAGAACTCATTTGGAAAGCGAGCTGTTCCATGTTTTGACTCTAGCTGTACTCTTAACTCTAATTTTTCTTTTCCTCAGAGACCATCACGGCCCTTTTTAAAACCCGCTTCCGGTTAGACTTTCCCTTCGATCTCCAGGAGCTCCCTGCCTTTGCAGTCATTGGGTAAGTTTTCCATCACTCCTTTCTTATCATTCTGCATGAGGAGGTCCAACACCACCCAGGGGGATTTGCAAAACCTTTTACCAAACTTTCATAATACTCCATACCACATCTCAGTCTATTCACACCTTGAATTCACCAGAAAACAAACAAATAACTTTATTCAAGTCTTTTTTTAGGAGTCTGGGTCTTCTTCTAGTACGAGAGATGTCTGAAAAGGGGTTTTAGGCAGAGGTTTCTCTCCCTGCAGCATGTGGAAGTGATTCCTTGAAGGGGGGCCATTAGCATGGATAATTCAGCCTGATGGATAAACAGCTGCTATGCCTCCGAGCAGAGTCTTTTTTTTTCTCCTGCTTCCGCCCCGGGGCTCTTCCCGGGCAGTGCACGAGGGCACGGGGAGTGGGGAGATAGCTCGTGGAGACTCGGCAGAGGAGAGTTCTCCCCCTCGAGCAGCCTGTTCTGTTCATCATTCTTTCATACGGAGGAACCTCCCTGCTCACAAGAGCTTCTGTTCTTCTGTTTATCAAGTCTAGACTTGACATTTGTGGCTGAGGATCAAGAGCATTTGCGATGGGAATTACGGAATTGGATAGAGTGATCGGTATTATTTCTGATTTACTTGCTGAGTTGGACCATCCAGCAGGCATCCTGGTTCATGTAAGAATAAAAATATACATTGTGGTGCTGAATAATCTGGCCAAGCGGAAGCATGTGAATAGAAAATAAACCTAAACCAAACAGGCGCCGGGCATTAGGTCTGGTGTGATTGGTTACTGTGACTGCAAATGTTCCATCTAAAAGGTGGGAATAAAACCGGCTAAGTGCAGTGTGTCTGATGCCAACCCGGTCCATTAAGATGGCGTCAAAGGCTGCACTTAGGTCTACAAGAGTGAAAATTGCACTCTTTTCATGGCTGCTGAAAGAGGGTCATCGGTTACCTCGAGCAGGATGGTTTTTGTGCCGTGTGAAGCTCTAAAACCCGATTGAAAGGTTTTTATGAGACACAAAAGCTAGGATCTAGGCCGAAAACACTTTTTCAAAGACCTTTACTGGAAACAGAAGTTTAGAAATTGGCTAAAAAGAACACGATGAACAAGGATTGGTTTCTTTTGAGAGGTTGGACCTCAGCAGGTTTAAAAGAAGAGGGAAAGATGCCTGACTTGTGTGGTCCATCTGTGTCTTAAAACTTCTTTAAAACCTTAGTAGGTAGTGATAAAATGAAATAAATTAGAATGATTTGCTAAAATGAAGTTTGAGTAAAAAGCTGCTCTTTATTCCTTGACTGCTTTCTAATAATTTTTTGTGGCATATTTCCAGATATTTAAAGACGCATGTAAGCCTGTTTCATTTTCTTTCTTTTCTCCTACAGTCCTCAGTAGTAGCAGGGTTCACATTTGAATCAGAAGCAGTTAAAGTCCAAAAAACCGTCTGGCAGCCGGATAAATTCAGTCAGACGGTGGTTTGGAAAAGACTATAATAAATGAAATAGCTTTATGGTCCAACACACAGATATCCTTAAGCTCGAGGTTGATAGGGCTGAGATAGAGATGAAAAACTAAATGAAGTGTGTTACCTTTTAGTGTGTGTGGGTCCCTGTACAGTGTGTGTGAGATTAAAAGATCCCAGTGTATCCATAAAAGAAGAGACTAGAGACTAAGAAGGGCAGCATGCATGTATGTCAATCACCTGAAAATAAGATTTTTTTTCAAACTTAGAAATAGATCCAGCTCAAAAGACTGTTTAGTTGGGAGGTCTTTAGATTATCAAAATGATCACTGGGTGTTTAGAATCTAATGCAAAGCAAAGATGGTCAAATGAGGTAAAACCACAGAGAAATTGGAGCATGTTAGCCTGATTGATGAAGGCTTTTAAAATCCGAGAAATTGATAATTATAAAAGTCTTCTTAATTAAACGTTTGGAAAAAAAAACATGACGAATAGGCTTTACTTACTGTTAATGTACTGTTGGAGATCTAATGTCTAACGGGCCAAAAATGAGCTGCGGTCAAATTTGGAGTGGAAGCTAACGCGTGTTTTCATCGTACTGTGATTGGCTTCTCTGAATTAGCGACAGAAGGAAGTGAGGATGGGCCTGTGGTTAGTCTTTGATGTGAAATGATAATACGAACTACTCAGCAGGAGCTGGAGGAGTCACACATGAAAGTTACTGTATCACAGAATGGCTGTAAGAAACCTGGAATCGGTCACCACCGTTTGTAATTGTGTTCAAAGCTGGACTAACACATCCTGATAATGTGGCTAGAAAAGGAAGACTTCTTCATGTAGATATTGAAACAAATGGACCTCAGCATCCTCTTTATAATCTCGCTGACTTCCCCGAAACGCTGCTCTCTTTTCTCCGCTGCATGCCAATTTAGACCCATTTCTAGTATTTTCCTTCTGTCTCTCTGCTCGATATTGAATAACTATTTCGTATGCACACACTCATCTGGCAGAAGCACTGTTCGGGGAACTTAAAGGCCGGGGGGGCAGAGAGAACTCCTCTGGACTTCCGTGGACCGGGACCTTCCACCAGACATGCCTCGGTCAATAAGTGACCGCTGGCTTAATCAGGGTGGAGCAATTAAACGATTTGGTTTAAGTAGTTCGCTAACCTTCGTTTGGATCTTCATAAGCTGCCGGTGCTACTGACAGGGAGGGGAGGAATTTCTTTTTTTTTAAGCCAACATCAATGAAAAGGAAAAGGCAGACACGGGGTGTTTTCTTCATGGTGCACCGGTGGGCAAAGACTCCCTCATCATGCTCTTCATTATTTATTTAAAGGTATTTGATGGCATGAATAATGAAGCAAGATAAATTTCTAAGGATTAACTTGCCTGCATAGCTGTCTGAGTGTAGTTTTTTTTTTTTTTTTTCATGCCCACCTCTTTCCTGTTTCTTCTGCTCTCTTTGCCATAAAGGAGACTCCAACTGAGGCTTTAAATGCTCTTATATAAAGATGTCTTTAGCTTTTTTTTTTTTTTTTTCTCTGACTCCCCCACACTTCCCGGTGCTGTCACCATCTGTCTCAACCTCTTAGCAGCAGGTTTATCTCCTCATTTCAGCATTTGTATGTCTTTGTTCTGCATGTCTCCTCCATGCTGACCTCTCTTCTCTTCTCACGTCTCTTCTGGTACAAAACTTCTGCACATTTGCTCAGAGCACAGACATTTTCTTCACACTTTATATCGCCTTAATTCTGGTCCAGTGCTCTGGAGCAGACCCGGTCACTCTGTGTTGGTTTGTTTACATTTTAACTTTTTTTTTTCCCCCCCTATTCAGTTCACATTGATCAAACGGTGTACTTTCTAGGAAAATCTAGTCTGTCTCTGTTTCTATCTTCACAGCATTGCCAGTGGCTTTGGTGGTGCTTTGTTTGTCTACCTGAACCGGCTGATCGTCCAGTTCATCAGGAAACAGAAGACCATCAACAGGTTCCTCATGAAAAAGTAGGTTCGGCTGCGTTTTCTCAAATTTCCGAACGATGCGTTTGACTCCTGAATGCACCGCGTATTTACGCGTTTGGTTTTTGGAGTCCGGTGACGTGTTGGCGTGGAGTCAACTCACAGATAGAGATTTGCCCGTTCTCCCGGGTTGTCTCTGGGAACTCCAGTTTAGTCTAATCAAAAGAAAAATCCCAAAACATCCATTTTTGGTCTCCTCAGCATCCCTTGACCAGCAGTACACACACGGTGGAGATTCTAACAGTGAGGTTCACTGAAAGGGCAGCCTGTGGCTTTGAAGCTGGATGAACTGTAAAGATGGACGGTTCTATACTCTTCCTCATGCACCTCCTCTTCCTCTCTCTCCTCTCAGGCGTCTGCTGTACCCTGCACTTGTCACTTTACTCATTTCGACGCTGACGTTTCCTCCTGGCTTCGGACAGTTTATGGCTGGACGGGTAGGTTCCTCACACCTTTTCAGCATGTATATCAGAATCATAAATAAATAAATATAAATATATAAATAAATATAAATGAATAAATAATAAATATTTTTTATTATTAATAACAATATTATAAATATTATAAAATCTTCAGCCCACTTTTATTTATTATAATAAATAAGTAAATTTCCTCATTATTTAGCCATGTCACTTCTCTTTTAAACACTTGATGCACCATCTGTAAGTCTAACTTACTTTAACTGACTTAAATATAAATTGGAGAGAAAAAAAAAGAATGTGATTTAGAGGCGTGCACAGGAAGTGTTCTCTCACCAGCCTGTGCCAATTCATAAACTGTTGCAGAAGATTCCGATATAGCAGTTTTATTCCAAATAAATGTAAATATTTGAATACAAATTTGGATAAATATTTTTCCCATTTAAAAGTCTGACCACACACTCTAAAAAGACTTATATATTGCCCCAGCATTCTGCTCTAAAAGCCCCCCCCCCCAAAAAAATAAACATAAACAGGCATATCTTACATTCAGTTCAATGTTATGAATGTATCTTAAAGTCACAACAAAACTTCACTTCACTCCAGAAATACTGTTCAACTCAGCTAATTAAAATCCGGTTGATTTAATTGCAATCAAAATGCAAGGAGTCAGGTTTCAGATTAATGCAGGTTTTGATGTGTGCTTTTTTAATTTATGAGTCCGTTTACCTACACAATGAAACTAAAAATTACGGCATAAGTGTTTAGTAACAATATTCTTAAAAAAACAGGAAAGAGTGTGTCTGTCGGCATATCGGGAAATATTGTTTGAAGATGAATAATGGTCCGAAACACACGTTGTTCGATCATAAATGTCATATATATGTGACAAAATAAATACTGTGGATATTTACTGATGATGTCATTTTCTTTGGTTTGCAGCTGACACAAAAAGAGTCCCTGGTTACGTTATTAGACAACCGGACATGGGCCAAGCAGGGGATCGCTGAAGAATTCGACTACATTGGACACTCCCAAGCCTGGAAACACCCCCAAGTCAACGTATTTGTCACGCTGGTCCTCTTCATCGTCATGAAGGTAGGAAAAACTTATGAATGAAGGCTTTGCTCTGGCTAATTACGCTTCACTTTCATGTTTACGGTCCTGTTCCTGCCAAAAACTTAAGTGCACTCCTGAAATGAGAACATTTTGAAGGATGGATTTCATAGTCGGAGCCATTTAAAGAGTTTGTGGCCAAGCCCACATCATTGGCAGATGATCGATCGATTTAAACAATCGATCAATCTTATTTTACTGCAAAAAGAATTGCAGCAAATTTGTTTTACATCATTCTAACCAACATAAGGGAAATTACCAGGACAAATAAAAATAAGGAAAAAGTCATACACACTGAAGGATCTCTAAAAGCTCTCTTAACCATCAGCAACAATACTGTGGAAACCCTGATTAAAATGAGAAAAAAAATGGAAAATGTATTTAAATAATAAGAAATAAACTATAGAATAAGAATAGAATGTTAAAAATTGTATAAACGATATGGATCAAATATTCTTAGAATAGAAATATGTTAAAGTAGGAATTGATAGATAAATACAACCAGATAATAATAAAGCTAGTTTTAACAAAGTCAAATATTGATCATGAGTCTCATAAAAGAGTGGACAAACAAACAAGGTCTTGCACTTTCTCTCAAACTGATTACATGTTATAAACCCAGATGCCCTTAGGCCTTCAGGTGGGTAATCCCACGAGTAAGAACCATAAAAAAGGAAGGTTTCCAGATGTTCGAAGAGTAAAAAAAAGAGTGTCCTGATGACTTGAGGGTGCTGCGAGGCTCATAGACCAAAAGCTGGTTGGATCCAAACATAAGACAAGGTTTAAGGTCCATTTATAAAGCACCGCGTCATACCAACTCTCATGTAGAGGCACTTCAGAGATCCACTCCAGTTCAGTCCTGTTAGTCCGATTCATACCGAAAAAATTAAAGAAAAGTTTAATAGATAATGGAACTGTAATTGACTGAATCTTTATATCAGTTCAAGCATGCAAACGCGGGTTGAGAGCGACTCATTGCTGACTGCACACAGAAGAGTGTGAGGATGGTGGCCTCTGTGTCGGGTCGGGGGGGGGTTTCAGCACCATGGCTGTCGTCATGCTAATCACAGCTCATCAGTGTTGGTTGTTAATGAACGTCAGGACCTGAAAGCACGTAGAGGACAGAGCGCGCTGCTAAGTGACCGAAAAGGTAAAAAGGAACAATTCAGGGCTGTCGGTCTGTCTGAGTCAGGCTAAAAAGCAGCGGCCGTCCCTGTCTGATGTTCGGATCTGAACGTCTCCGTGCAGCTGAGAGGGACGTGGGAACTGGATGAGTGTTGTTGGAATTAAGCAGCTGCATCATTGGCCTAAGTGGGGGAAACAAAGTTGAGTGCATACTGAGTGCTAACTATTCCATTAAGGTCCCTGCTGCCCATCTGTGCGTCAGTAAATCAGTAATAGATTGGCTTTCTTGATTATTGCTAGTTGCTGCGTTGATATGCAAATGTCCCGTCCTAAAGCACAAACTGTGTTTGTGTGTGTGATAGTGAGCGTAACTGTGCTTTAAAGTTCCCACAAACAGTAAAGCACACACAAAAAGCCCAGACAAACAGCTAGTGGGTGCAGAATAGAGTGGAGTGGGGTTTAAATGTGAGCGTGGCCTTTTAGTTTAGCTGGGCGGGATGGGAATTCTGTTTTTTATCGACCAAAGTCGCTGCTGTTCTTGACATTTAAAATCAATTATTTCCACGAAAGCGCACATATACGTAAAGCAGTCGTGTTTTCTTAAGTTACAAAGATGGAAAAGAAAAGATCACACACCCCAATTCTCCATCCAAAAAAGGCCAGAGTAAGCCCAGCTCAGAGGAAGATGTTGACTTTGGTTCTAATTAAATAATTTTCCTGCTGAAAGAATTATCTCATGGATAAAAAATGTGCATTTATTATCTATTCTATAACCCGATGTCACTGAGAGGGGCAAAGCTGAAGCTTTTCAGGTGTCTTTGTCTTATAGCAACTCACACCAGATGTTTATTGGGGTCCCATTCCCATTTGGTAACCATCTTTTAACCATTTTGGGCGATTTGCTGGTCTGTTCTGTTAGTGTGGTGAGGAGGGCTCCAAGTCCAATATGTTTAGGCATCTGAATTCCTAAATTCGCAGATGCATTAGTGTTTTCTCTGTCTGGACATGAATATGCTCTCTGCTGATCTCAAAACAAGAAAAAATGGAGGATGCACAGTTTTGCCAAAATGAATACTAAACGTTGAGCTTATGTTTTAGTCATCTTCTCTGTAACTTTTATCTGTGTGTGTGTGTGTGTCTTGGTCTCATCCTCTCTTTGTCCTTAGGTGAAATATTTATGTCGATTTCAGGATGTGTCTGTGTTCTAAGTGACTTAGAACAGGTACAAAACAGTAAGTAGACCAGTCCAGTCACCTCGCCGAGCAGCTGTCAACATCTGTCAGTGGGCACAGGCTAACTTGTGTGTGTCACACACTTACACACACACACGCACGATAGACGCAGCATTCAGAGAGACTGTCTAATTACAGCCTTTGGTTTTTCCGTACTCTGCCTGGTGATTTTCAAAGGCGAGATTGCTCTCCGTCCTCCTCCTTTCCCGGTAATGAAAGGTTTCTTTCATTCGGCTTGGCAGCCATTTTGTCACGTCTCAGCTTTTCACGCCGAAACTTCAGAAATACCAGCATTCCGTCTGCTAGAGAGTTTTTGAATGGAAAGGTGCACACACTGTGATGTAAGTTCTGGTGAACCGGCACCAGGCGGGCGGAATGCGTCCGTCATTAGGACCTGTTGTGTGTTGTGTGTAAGGTCTACAGTCCCGATGAGACGAGTAGGGCTGTCAGAATGACTGTGATTAATTATACGGCTGGCAATGTTACTCGTTGAAAAATCATTTTTTGATATTTAAGTGAGAAAAATGTCTCCCACCGTAGGCTAGAGATTGGACGGAAAAGCAGAGTGAAACTAAATTAGATTAATGAAAAGGTCATGTTCCATCTAGTCTCTGTCCCCTCAGACTGAGACTGAGAGTGAGCAGCAAATGTAAAAGAAAACACCCATGCCATTATGTTTAATTCTAGCTCATGTCTCTAGTGTGTGAACACCTTTTGTCTGTGGCCAGTTCTGGTCAGCACCGGCAGAAGAAAAGCCTTCATTTTGCACATTTCATGTCCAAAATCCACTAGTTTTTAGTCCCAACTTTAAATTGCTGGGAGTTGTAAGTCTGTGTTTTTAAGCTGATAACTAAGTCTTTCCTTAATCCTGCCCCCCCTGTAAACACCGACCTGTTATCTGTGGCTGGAAACAGATGTGCTTTTGCACGCCGTGTAGCCCAACAGAACGTCCAGACCAGGGCCATTTTCGATCGAAAGGTCAGTTTTTGTGAGCTGTTATTCGGTTCTGTTTATGGCCGATTCTGACCCCTTTTCCTGACCCGGTATATTTGCGAGCTGAAATATATTAGCAACACCACCTTCAGTAGAATAAAGGGGTTTTCATTGTTAGAATTAATTGGCCTTTTGTTTTAGCTCTGGCTTTATTTGCGGCTTTGACAATACTGCACACTGGCGTGAATCTTCACTTTAGGGACGGATTATTTTGTTCTCGCATCCCAGTTATGGATGCTGGGAGGTGTCTTTTAACCTTTACACCTTCCTCTATCTAAACACAATTGGTCTGTGGATGCTGAATTTATTTTGTATCACTCCCAAATGTATCAACAACTACAAATATTTTTGTTGATCGAGGTTACTTTGACATCTACTAAATTTGGAGTCGCACACATGAACTGATTATGGTGTCACTTCTAAAATAGTATATGCCCAAAGCAGCTCTGTAAGTTATCAGTCTCATTAGAGTCATTAAAAAATTCATGTGGTTCATTAGGAATATTTAATTGCATTTTGATGCAGAGGTCCTTGTAAGAGATTTCTCCTTCCTGTATCGTACTTGTTTTTTTAAATTCATACCTTTTGAAATGAGGTTTTGGAATCGTTTAAGTCTCCGCAGGTAAAGGCCGGGGATCCTCATAAATGTTGATGGCCATGCACTCCTCTGTGAGATGCACAGTGAGAGGATTATATTAGATTAAATGGGAAATGAATGATTCCTCCTGGGGGGAAGTGAGTCATTGCTGCTGCGGATACTCTGTTACCACAGGAGTTTAAGCATAAAACCGGCACCGGCAGTTTGTCTTGTGCGTTGGCATTAAAAGTTACGTCTTTAAATAAGCTGCGTTGCTGGAACGTGTGAAGCCCGTCAAAATGTTACAACAAAGACTAAAGTGAGGCAGCATGTAACTTAAAGAAAAAGTACAAGTTGGAGTGAGAATAATTCAGAAAATGGACCCAGAATGGAGCTCTGAGTGGTAGCTGTAAAAAAAAAACAAAAAAAACTGCTGTTGTACAGCAGATTCACCATGTCAATTTATTTCTCCTTCATTCTGGAAATAACAGACGCAATTTATTCAAATAAAAAAATGTTACCCTACCATTACCGCACCAGAACAGGCTAAATTAGCAGAACAAACCAGGAAGTCCAAGAAGCAAATAGCGGGTAACCAAGTTAACCAAGCTCCCGATCTAAGACAACTAAAGACACTAAAGGTGTGTTTTGGTTACAATTGACTTTAGAAAAAAAGTGTGATTACATAGCAGCCAACAAGCCGGTGACCCTCTTAAACTAAGCATTAGGTTTATGGACATAGATAAAGTAAGTGGTTGAATCCAGTAGTTCTGAGGAGGCTGTTGATGCACCAGAACAAATAGATGGTCCTTTACGGATTTGGCCCACAATGGATTAATGAATCCAGTTGTGAATGCTCGGATCTACTTTTTCAAGCTCCAACCACTCGAAATACAACAGTCACTCTGCTTTTGATCAGTCTTTCTGTTTCCTAACTGGTGAATTGAAATAGCTGGTGTATCCCGCTCAATCATCAGCGCACTGACTAAAAACAGTCTACAATCTATGCCCTGTCAGTTTGGAGTGATAGTTTGTTCTCAGTTGAGATTGAATTCAAATTGTTCTGTGTTCATCTTCTGTCGCACGATACAGAAATCGGCAACAGTTCTGTCACATATGAATAAAAAAAATCTGTATCATCCTGAAAACTCTTAAAGATCAATGAATGCCTTTTGTCTTTAATTCCCAGAAATTAATACTTAAGCTGCACACTTAAAGAAACATTTTATTTCTATACATTTATGACAATGCAAATTTTTTTTTACACTATCTACAGATTATATGAACTAGCAAATGCTAACATTAGTTAACATCAGTTTTGGGCCAGCCCATAACTTAACATTAGACTACAAACACTGTTTGAATGTCTGTAGTTACCCATGCTCCAGATTTATCTCAGCGGTTCGGGTTTTGTCTTTGACCCTTGTCCGAAGCGTTTTACGAAATAACTCGGAGTCAGAGGGATTCTCAACAGACCTTAATTCATCTTAAAAACACTTCCTGACTCAGCCTGATGTCTTTAACAGCTCCATCAGAGCCAGGAAGGACCATCTTTGGGGTGTAAAAGCCACACAGAACTGACTCTGAGCCTCTAACTGGAGTAGATTGCACTGTTCTCCAAAATTGTAAACCTCTACCGTCTCAAACCCGCTGGACGGCATAGCCTCTGTTGTAAATTAAAACTAGTGTTAGTCACAGATCAGTTTAACCTTTGCAGCTCTTATGAAAGTCTCTCTGGCGGGATGGAAAAGCAACATGTAAAGACAGTGTGTGAGATGAGGAGAATGGGCTGATCTCATGGGTGTTTTTTTCCTAATAAACCGGTGTTTAATATTCTTCTGAGTTTGCATTATGGGGTGCGTGTGTGTGTGGCTGTGTGAACACCTACACACTTTGCGTGTGTTTGCTCGGGGTGTGAACAAACGGCAGCGGAGTGGTGGGGTTGCAGGAGGATGAGACCGGTTACGTCACCATGGCAGCCAGCCTTAATTACAGCTAACTATAGACGGAGCGGAGGGAAGAGGGACATGAAGCAGGGAGTGTAATTAAAAAGTCTGTTTGAAACCGTGAGATTATTGCAGCAGTGCTGGTTATGTAATGGCTTTTTCCAAAACTCGGATGCATTTCTTTCTTGATGCTTGCTGCCTGTGACTGCTAAGCTATGTTTTGCTTTGCAGAAGAGCTGAAGTCCATGACTCTCTCTTCACATATGCACATTTAAATTGATTAAGTTTGGGCTGGTTTAACAACAACAAAAGCACCAATACTGTGGTGTTGAGTCATTTAATATGAAAACATCTATTTAAAAGCTTTAAAGACATAACTTTATATGTGTATTTTACACAGAAAAAATCTAAACTTAAGTTATCAATTCATTTGAAACGTAATGAGAAAAACATATTTATTACACATTTATTACAGAGAGCTTTCCCTCAAGACTTGACGAATAGCTAAAAACAAGTGCTTTATTCCAAGATGAGGAAAAAAATCATGAATTTCTATGAAAGGGGTGTAGAAATGTGAGTTCCAAAAGTTGTACTGTAAATAAGACCTAAATAGAAATCTAGAAAATTGACATTGTTAACCCGATTCTTTACTAGGAAAACTGAGAATAAACCAGAGTGGATCAAAAATATAAAAAAATGACATTTATTGGGTCGCTGGTAAAGTTTATCAGCACAAAAACTTCAACACAAAATATAGTTATAAAACAAAATAAAACAATCAGTAATTTACATACATCATGTGATAGCATACAATACTAACGTGTGTAATTATAGCCAAATTCTAACAACATCGTGCTCACAATATTTGATTCGACCATGTGTGAACGGCTCTAATTGCACCACCCATCCCTGGGTGCTGCTTCAGGTTTCGGGGGGTGCCCTCTCTGTTCAAACACTATGACAGACCCATTCCTTCTTTAAACATGAGACATAGGTGAAGATGCTATTCACACATTGTCAGCGTTGACATTTCCCTTTTTTTGGTGTTCTTCGGGCCTAATTAGCAGCCTGACGTGGCCGGCCAATCGGCAGAGCCCTCTCGTTACCCAGGGTTTGTTTTAGGGGGGTCCTTATGGAAGGAAAAGTGGATATGACAGTTCAATCTAAGCCCAGCTGCGCCCCCCCCCCCCCCCCTCCTCGCTGCTGGTTCACCTTGGCTTTCATTAGGGCCCTCGCGGGACGCTGCTCTGAGACTAATTGAAATGCCAGCCCCTTTCTTTTAATGTTCCGCTTTTCTCTGTCTGCTTGTGTTTGGTGTCTCCCATAGTTCTGGATGTCTGCCCTGGCCACCACCATCCCCGTGCCCTGTGGAGCCTTCATGCCAGTGTTTGTCATAGGTAATGAGCTCTGTATCTGTGTATGCCCGGAACAACGGCGGAGCAGATGTGTCCGTGTTATTTTGGGAACTTTTGGAACCACCAAGTGTCTGCAAGAGGGAGGGGAAAGGGCAAAAAACACTTTTCTTCTCCATCTTAAGAAAGTTCATGCGAGAAGAATGAGTTCCAGTCACTGGAGTGCTTTGAGTCCTAATTACGGATGAAAATATCCTGACGGTCAAACCAAAAGTGTTAAAGCTCGGTGGGACTAAAATGTTAGCTGTAGTAATTCTGAATGACGATATTGTAATTTTGGGGCTGCGGTGTGGTGATTAGCTCTGTTTGTTCCCATGGGGAGGGTTCTCTTCTCCCCAGGGTTCCTTCTGGGAACTCTGACTTTCTCCCAAAGTCCAGAAAACAGCCATGTTAGCTCACCTGGAGGCTCTAAACTGTCCAGATTTTACCTCGCCTCTAACCGTACACCAGCTTAAACAGGGTCCAGCCTCCCTTACAGGGGGAAAGACCAGTTATATAAAAAGGAGGGATGGGTTTAAGATCAGTTCTACATTTGGCTGGCTGCAGGCTAAACAATTTCCTCTTGATTTTTCTTATAGCAACATGTATTTTTTTCATGAAATTGCATCTAAGAAAACGTGTAACATACCTAAATGGTGACGGGGTGCAGCTGATTAGGAGCTTCTTTTAGTTTTCTGGATCAAAAAGATCATCTAACCCACCAGCATGGGCATTCGGAGCTGTTGGGGTGCTGAAACAGTTTGAATACAGATTGATTTTTTTAACCGATTGTTGACGCTGAATGATCTTTGTGCGTTCCAGGGGCAGCGTTTGGCCGTCTGGTCGGGGAAAGCATGGCGGCGTGGTTCCCGGATGGCATTAACACCGATGGGACCATCTACCCCATAGTACCAGGAGGCTACGCAGTAGTGGGTAAGGAGTGGTTTTTCGGTGACTTACCATGGCTTTTCCCAGACTCAAGGCACATCCAGCCCCTCCAATAAAATAACTTATACCAGAAATAGATAGAAAAAAATACAGTGTGAGTTTTCCACCTATTTTAGATATTTGAATTGATCTTTTTGCTCTCTTTGTGTTTTTAGACATGCAAAGGAAACACAACATTCTTTACAGCAGTCCTTATGGAGAATCTTGATCTGACGTATGGGTTTTATGCTTTCTTTTTGCTCTTTGCAGGCTTGAACACATACTTGTAAGCGGATTTATTTCAAGAGCCCAAAGAAAGTTTTGGTCTTACTGCTGGTTCACATGCAGAAACAATTAAATGATCGACATAAATGATTCTTTAATGTTGGACAGAAATTAGAAAAGGTCCCTTTTTTTCCCCAAACAACGGTCAGACGCAGAATCAAACAATGACGAGATGCAGAAAAAAACATGTTTCTACAGTTCCACTTGTTGACAGCTGATTGTTCTGCTGTTGAGCACCATAGCTGATGACTCAGCAATACACAGGCCCGCCACTCCGATGAGGCTCTCTCATCTCGCAGTGGAGTGGGCGGCTCCAAGGACTAAATGCGAGGGCTGGCGGGGAGAACAGAAGCATTTATTTTAGGGGAGATGGAGTTGTGAAGCGTAATGAAGTCAGAGGAAAGAACAATGAAAGCTGTTGCCTAAAATCATCCTTCATATGTCCTCTCGCTTTTTTAAAGTTCGCATAGTCCAGGCTTTAGTTTTTTTCATCTCATTCTTTGAGAAGAAGTCGTCCATTGTCTCTCTGTAGGAGTTGTGTTTACTTTCTTTTTGAGTTGGTGATAAAATGCATCACTTATACACAGAAATAAGGTATTTTTTCATAATGTATCACAGTATTGTCCAAAAAAGTTCCAGGTTGAAAACCAGTCACCATGCTAATTTCTGAGGATATCCCTGTAACACAAGATATCATCTCAAAACACATTTTTTAATTATGTCAGAATAAAACATTTTTGAAAGGAAAATAGAAAACAGTTTGAAGATTTAAGCCACCACTAAACCTTTTTAGCTATTTTACCATTTCTTCATGTCTAAATGGTAAGTGCTGGAGGACAGTATGAGGTATTCTATTGAGCTCTATGTACGAAGGACACAGAAAAGCTATTAAAAAAGTCACGCTGCACTTGTATTAGCCTTTTATTCAACATACTGTATGTGAAATGTAAGGTTGAAGGTTGGAAGAGAGATTTGACCGGTCAGCAACATGCTAGAATCACCAATTTCCGCGCTGTCCCCCACAGGAGCCGCGGCCCTGTCGGGAGCGGTCACCCACACGGTCTCCACCGCCGTCATCGTGTTCGAGCTGACCGGCCAGATCTCCCACATCCTGCCCGTGATGATCGCCGTCATCCTGGCCAACGCGGTGGCGCAGTCCCTGCAGCCCTCGCTCTACGACTCCATCATCAGGATCAAGAAGCTGCCCTACCTCCCCGAGCTGGGCTGGGGTCACCACGAGTACGTCCAGCAGAACGGGTCCAACGCTCCTTCACCATTTACAGGAAACATATCACACGTATTTGATTCTCTAGCTACAAGTAAAAAAGGCATTAAAGGGTCAACTGTTAACTCATTGGCTGCCAAAGACGTCTATAGACGTCAATTCAAATACAACCGTTGACTGCCAAAGACGTCTATAGACGTCTTTTATGTTTTTCCAACGAGAGTGGCTGGGAGACGATCTGCTAAAGCTTGTCCGTAAATATAAGGCTTCTAGACAGAGTATGTACTAACAAATTGACCCTCTAGGTGGCAGTGCCACTTTTAATGGGAGATTAGCATAGATTGTAGGTAAATAAGAAAAAGGTAACGGTTCGATATGAGAGAACATGTCGCCGGTGAGACGCAAGTCGAGGAAGAACGGAATAAGGTAGAAACAATTTTTTTTTTTCTGATGAAAGAAGAGAGTCTACTCTTTCTTTTGGTGTGTTCGGAGTTTACATAGTCATAGGACAAACTATTCTGTGGCTCTTGAAAAATCAGTCAAAATGCTCAAAAAACTCTGGCAGTATGGGACTGTCTGTTCTGAAAATGTCTGACAGTCAATGAGTTATTAATAATTTGATGAATTTTGAGGGATTCTGGCTTTGTACTTACATGACTTGTGATCATTTAACTATCTCACAATACTGACTGAAGTTACCAGGTTTTCAGTGTCTTGGGAGCACCAACTATCCACATCAGACACTTCATTTTTAATTGTTCCGAACTGATTATGGTTTTCTAGGTGTCTGGAAACCGTTAGGTGGAGATAGTTCAGATGCTTCATTTGCAAACTTAGAGTAGGCTAATGAGAATAAATTAGATTTCACCCTTAATCATTTTCAGTGGCCATAATCAGCAGTCTGCTTTCTGTCTTCCCCGAGTCCTTCTCTTACCTCAATGTGGACTCTGTTAAGGCTCGCTGACCATCACTAACTCTGTCCCTCTCCTTGTGTTCCTCTTTTCTGCTATAACCCTGCGTACTTGTTAGTATTTGTTATTATCCACAAAACTATCCTGTAAAATTATCCAGTTCCAGCAGCCTTATTCTGCAGTCCGTTCTGTGGTCCTTGGAGAATAGTCCCTCCTGGTCGGTCACCTTTTTAGTGGCTTTTTGAATTACACCTTGCAGTGTATGCCGTCCTCATCCTGTCTCATTGCATCCTCCTGGGATTCTAAAGCCAGTGGCGTCAGTGGTTCTGTCTCTGGGAGCGGTATTCCGTGGAGTTGCCACTGTTCTCAGATCTTTGGCACAGACATCTGCCAGTTTTTGGTGCAGTGACCTGTTTCTGGAGAAAACAGCCTCGTTACAGAGGCTGTATCCAAACTGAATAGTAAAGCATCTCACTCCCACTCAGTCACACACACACACACACACACACACACACACACACGTGCAGGCTGCTTGTGTAACGCTTGCTTTGCCACACACACACAGGAATGTTTCTAAAGAATATGGTTATGCCTCTGCAGATAAAACACTCAAACACTTACAGAGTAAACAAACCCACTGCAGAGGTAAGGCTTTAAATCACCAGCACACATAAAACAGTTATCCCACATCCCCTCACGAGTACTGACAGGGTTTCTCTTTCCATCCTCTCATTTCTGCAGCTCTTACTCTCCGGTGTTACCTACCCAGAATGATGTAGACCTCGTAATTATGCCTTTGCGCTTTGTACTTAGGATGATCTGAGATTCTAACCGGATCCAACACGTGTGAGATGTGAAGGAGAAACAAGTCCAGTCCCCAGAGGCCCCACTTTACTAATGAATCTGCCCGTAGCTTTGGTGCAAAATGTCTGATCGGACCCCGGCAGTGAGAGAGCAATTAAGTGGAAACGGATTTCTTCTTCTGGCTTTGATATCTCGGTAGAAATTGTCTTGGCAGCAGTGACCGGTCTAGAGGCGTGCATACATTATTCTTTCAGATCCACGGAAATGGAGAGCAGATTTTTATCTTAAAGGGTGGAGTTTTTTTTCCAAATGTTTTGCTTCCTTGTTTCTTTTTCATCTTTCCGTCTGAAGCTAATAGAACATAGTGAGAGTTCCACGATTCGGTTCATGAATTATTTGGCGAGCTCTGTTTTTAATTGTGCATTTCTGGTTGGTGGATAGTGATATTTAGTTTATGTTCTTGAAAAAAATCTGGTTAAAAGTGCCTACAATGATGGACAAAAGTACAAAAGACCAGTGTTTGTGGGATATGACTCAGAAACCAAGCACTCTTTACTAAGAGTAGCTAGTTACGAAAAGTTAAAGAACATTCTGGAATCAATGTTGAATTATATATATTATTATTGGTGTCGTTATAACCACTGTTTTAGTTTTTTACACATATATATATTTTTTTGTATAATATTGTGGGTGATTTGACTCTCTAAAGCTGTTGTGGCCAAAGATTTCTTTTTCATTACTTCAACAGTTCACCATTCAAAGCTTAATTTATATGACACTTTCATCTAACTAAAAGTATGCCTTGTGCATTATATGTATTGAAGTGGTGTTTGGGGTGAATGGTGATCAATTTCCCTTTGTATTCTGAGTGAGGTGGGATCAGTCTGAGTGGAGGCTTGGCCAAGGTCTGTGTTTCTGGCCCGACTCTGGGGCTTGGCAGAATAAAGCCATTGGGCTTGCAGGTTTTTGGCGAACTCTAGCAGGAAGAGAAACGCGAGTGTTTATGACCGAGTGTGCAGTTCTGCTCAGCAAATAGCTGCTCGCAGTGTGACCCATGTCCATCAGCTGTCCGGTCAATACACCTACATCCGGAGGTGTTCACCTGGCCAGGCCTAATGACCCAGTCCTCAGGATAAAAAGCTGTATAGTACAACATTTCTATTAGTCAGCACATTCAACCCCCTTCTGGTTCTTTTGTATGCCTCCTCTCCCCTTACAACTCATCTCCAACCACTCGACAGACATCTTGACATTAGTTTCCTTTCATTCACCTCTCTTTCTCTCTCTCTTATCTCTTCCCAGGAAGTATAACATTCGTGTGGAGGACATTATGGTGCGGGATGTACGGTACATCACTCTTAACTGCTGCTATCGAGACCTGCACAGCGTCCTGCTGACGGCCGGCCTCAAGTCTCTGGCACTGGTGGAATCAGCAGGTGACACACACACACACACACACACACACACACACACACACACACAC